CCGGACCGGCCAAAACGCCGCGTTGCGGGCGTGCCGGTCTCCCGCCCGCGGGAACACAAACCGTCCGTTTTTGAGCGAGATTTTCACCGGTCGAAAAAGGATGTTTTGCAGTTTATTAGACATAACAACGCAAAACGGTGATTTCCGTTAGATGGACAAACTAAGAAATGGTATATTATGCAACTACTTTATAATGTTAAGCTTCATTGGATAAGTACATGTTTTGAAAATGAACAAATTAGGGAGCGAGTTTTTTTGAAATTTTCACGCATGCAATAATACAACAGTATAAACGAGTTGTATACGTTAGTTTTTGTAAAGTAGCACTATAAATTTATAAGGCAATCAAAGTTAATTTTCGGAAACATCTTTATTGAGACGGAGGGTATTTGTCAACTGTGCGAAAAAACGGTCGTCGGTTTTTCAGTTTACCGCAATCACCGTACGATTCTCTCGCTGCGAATGGCTGAATGTGCGATGACGCAATTGTTCGTGCCGTAAGCGGCAATTTTGTCATAATCTGTGTCAAAAGCTACATAAGCTGCACAAGGTCGTGTACAATTGTAAACTGCTGAAACTGAAAAAAAAATTTACAATTGCTTACTGTCAAAAAATTCCAGCATTACTGCTGGAATTCAAAAAAGTGTATTCGCAACCGTGATTTTCAGTGCGCTTCTAAACAATATCAATATGTGTTCGACAGTTTTTATACTTTATTTAGCTTGACCACTCCCCTTGAGGATGCACTTTATTCTTCGCATCGTATGTGTTTTTGACATTTTTGTGTTTTTTGTTCGTATTTTTTGTTTTGGACACTTTTTGACAGTAATCAAAAGTAGTCCAAAACAATATGGATTTTGAAAGTTGCGAAATTCTAATAAATTTTGTCCAAACTCCTTGAACGGACAAGTTGGCGTGCATCACTCGCGCAATTCGACGCAAGGATCCGAAGTTTCCCCTTCCCCAATTTTCAAAAAACCTATGTCAGTCTGGGCAACGCAAACGATCTATTCATTTTTATGCCAAAGTATCATACAGGTGTCTTCCTGCTATCTTTGCTCGTCCCTCAAATCGTGCAAAATGCCCAAGATAATGTAAAATGGAACCTCAAGATTAAATGTTTGCAAATAGTTACTGGAAATATCCTCTTCTGAAAAACGACTTTCTTTGAATTGTGATAGTCTTCTTCGTGACAATACACGTTCACGATGTAATTAATTTTGTTTACTGTACCCACAAAATTCTCTTAGGAAAACAATTCGTGGAATCAAAGCGAGGAACAACACTGCACAGACATTAAATGAGTATCGTAGGATCGGATTGGAGAAATTTTATATCTTTCAGGTTCTAATTAAAAAACGTTTTGTAACACGTAAAAAAGTCTAACCAAATAATGTAAAGCAGCTACTCGCTGCTGCTCTCATTGGAAAATAAATTTTACGTGCCGATTGTTTACTCGGAAATAAGGGGGCATTCGTGGTATAGGTGAATTTTTCTTTTCTCCAGCGTAGGTTAAGTGAATGGAGAATCGTTGTAGAGTGTGCCTACATTAAGTTACAAGAAAACAGAAAATTACACGAAAGTTTTGGCAGTCAATTTCCATCTTCTAAATTTCCAAGGAGGGTCTTTCTCTTTCTCGGTGCCTTGTATCTTCATGTTTGTTCTTTTCTTTCTCTCCAGATTTGAGGTATTGAAGTAACGCATGAAACCAATGTACTTGACTCTACGAGACCAAAACTAGAAAAATAGTTGCTAAGTACGTAAATATTTTCTTGTGAAATATTGTGTATTACATCCAAATTATTATATTTATGTTTGGTTTTAATGTTTCTATTTTCTCGATTTATTTTAAACAAATAAAAATCAACTTCGAATGTAAAAAATTGAAATATGGATATAATGTTGTGATTTTGTCTGATAAACTTTTATTTTTGTAAACAGTTTGTCGACAAATTAAGTCGATTAAAATACCAATTTGTAAAAATATATTGATTTTTTGAGTACACATATTTGAAGGTCGTAGTTTGCCTTAATCTTTGTCTTTGTTGTTGCGTAGCTTAGTACATCTACAAATCTGTGTGGGTAATATTTTATGCTTGTTGGCTGCTTCCCCAGATTCAACATAATAAATGATGCGTTTGAAAAAATAAAATTCAGAACTGTGCCAAATACTCATGCTGCTGTAAAAGCGCACCAAATCTACAGACTGTACTGAATTATTTTTGAATATATTGCTCGTATCTTTCATTACAGGTTTCTGAGCAAATAATACTGCGTTCGGTTTGAATCTTGTCAGCACGGGACAAATGCTGGATAATTTCTGGAAAATCGAACCAACGACTTTAGGAAAAGGTATTAAAAAGGGTAAAAAAATAAGTTGAATGAACGGTAAGCGAATACATTTTTGATTACGGTGAATTAGTCGTAATGGGCGAGAATTATTCATTATGCGCAAATATATATATATATATATATATATATATATATATATATATATATATATATATATATATAATATGTAATACATCGATAAAAACGATCGACTTTTTCAAAGCATTTGAAAGTGCTCACATGATAAAAGTCGGTTCCTTAAACGAGTACTTACCTTCGGCGAGTTTGTAAGCGCCACCACAAATGACAATGAGCACGGCTCCAAGCTTAGCTGTTGTAAACACGTTCTGTACGCTCGTGGCCAATGTTACACTGTAGCAGTTGATTAGTAGTATCACCGCTGCAACAAGAGAAGAAATTACATAAATTTAAACACATAAATTACATAAGTGTATGAAGAATTCTGTTTTTATCTACAAAAACAGACAAGAAATATTTCTGTAACTCATATTTCTTTCATGAACTTTCGTTACTTGACTCAAAAATCGAAATTAAATTTCAAAATAACTATTAAAAATTCCTCCACACCCAATATTGTATCGTCCATTTTAGTCTCACATTTATTCCACTGAGTAATTTCCTTATTTGCAAGTATTTTCACGGAGGCAAACACCACTTCTGTATAGTAATACAAATAGACTGTTACGTTTGCGTTTAAACAGACTATCTCGCGCTTTTGCTGACAGTGTCCTGCATGCACTGTGGCAGTTTGCACGGCGCATTCATTTCTCACTGCAGGAGATATTTCATAGAATGCACGCAAACCAAGTGCGCTTTGCACTTCGAACAACCGCTGTCGATAAATCTTTCCGTCTTCAATACATTTTCCACGTCGAAGAGCTGGCACTGTAACCGAGCCAGTTACAACGAGTATAGATTTCGTTTCGGATAAGGCGCTGCTGCAACGCAAGCAGTAACTGGCAAAAGCACTGACAACTTTAAGACATTCGTAGCAAATACAGGTATTAAAAGGAATGCAATGCGTAATATTTATTTTACCATCGGATTTATTGAATTGCAAGAAAGAAAATTCGTTGGTTCAGTGATGCCACCAGGATTTTTTTATAGAGGGGAGGGGGCTATTGATGTAGTGGCCAGCCTGTTTTATGTTTTCTTATGAAAAAATGTATGTTGAATTTAAAATTTATTATTGTTGGTCGTTTAAGAGTTAACTAAAATGAGTTGGTTATTTCCCAAGCAAAGTATCGCGAAAAAATACAAACCTTTCAGAAAGAGAAAGTATTTAAATTCATCCAAAGTTTAATATCAGATTCAAACTGTTTTCGAATACCGATCAGTGTAGAAGAAACGCTATTTTTGCACTCAATACTTGATAGCTTGATTGAAAAAAGTCTTAAAATTTTGATAGGTAAAATTAGAAAACAAATTAAAATAAAGCGACGTCACTTGCAAAATAAGCTCTTCGATAGAACTATTGAATATCATGTTTTCTAAACACAATTAGTAAACAATTTGTAAGAATTTGTAAATAAGTGTCGTTGGTCTCTAGGGCAGGACTCAGGACCCATGCCCCCCCCTTTGGCTGTCCCACTCCATAGGTTCGTAGAATGCTGACATTAAATGCATTTCAAAAGTAGACGTTTTGAAGCTAACAGAAATATGTTTAAAAATCTTATGCATTTTATTTGAAGTACAACACAACATAATTGTAATACAATACTCTCTTGATCCTGGACTCTTTTTTTTTGTGATATCTTCTTTGTGTTTCTAACACATAAAGATTGCATAGTACCTTAATCAATTATTTCTACCCATTAAGATTATATTTTAATATCACAATAATTACTAGAAATAATTGAAAATATCGATAACGAAAGTACGATAAAAATGAATCTCCGCTAGCGGTGTACTTCCCCAGTTGCGACAAGCTCTACACACCCGAATCATCTCCGAGGAGTGAGAAAGTGTGGGTGCGGGTAGGAGGAGAAGGGGGCAATAATGAAGAATGAAAGATCGAGCGCGGCCAATGCCATGTTTTTTAGGGTACTGCAATGGCATTCGCCTTGAAGTGATCGGAGAAACCACGGATAACTTCCGACCACAGCGGCCGGCCGCTAGTGTTGAATTGAATTGAATTGAATTGAATTTGCCTTATTTTACGTGGCGAGACTCGGGCCATCAGGCCCGCTCTTCCGTCTGATCACGCAAATTCCGCTACGCTCCTTTCACCAACAAGGAGAGAAAGGAGGTATTTCTTGGGCGAGAAACAGGCGATTTGAATTTAGCTCAGAGGCGTCATTTAGGCTTGAGGATCTTTTACATGCAAGTAAATCTACGAACATGGGACAGCCGGCTTTACTTCCCTAGTGTTCTCCAGACAGTACTTGAATTCGTATCAACAATGTGTCGAAAATCCGCCAAACTCGGGACTCGAACCTTAGGTTCCTCCAGTCAACGATGCAGCAGAGGTTAGGTTATTGTCAGTAAGGTAGCGACCGGTTCCGAATTTCGTTATGTAGAGTTTACACTGAACAAATAATATGAATTAAGAAATAATCAAACCACAACAATTAAAGTTTTAATATTTCTTAAAACATTAGATTTTATATAAAACATTAATCAATTGACGGTTACACTTTTTCCATTTTCGGAGGGTTTCGTGGATCACACTAAAAAAACAACAGCTAAGAAGGCGGCCATCTTATGGAATGGCGGCCTCCTATTTCCAGAACATTGCTTCGCGGTTGTTTTTAGTGTGATCCCGTTGCTTGGGTAACCTAATGAAGAGAGGAAAAGTGTTGCCGAAAGTTGACTTTGGGTATTAGTGTTTTAATAAATATTAAAACTGTTATTGTTGTGTTTTGACTATTTCTTAATTTACATTATGGGACACAAAATATCTACTACTCCCACGGAATTTATTGTACAAATAATTTTGTGCGATGCATTTTTTCTGTATTATTGCCAAAACGTAGTACGAACCGCTAGCATGTGGAGGGCTGAGCGCGGCTCGCTCCCTTGGGGCGGAGGCGTCCGCTGCCGGGAGGTCGCCGACCCACCCCCGACCTCCCTAGAGGCGCCTGCGGGGAGGTGGCTAACCGCTGGTGGCGCTTCGATTCGATTCGAGCTGCGGATTGGCTTCGGGGTTTGACCGATGGCGTGACCTGACCGCGCGAACGTCTACAATGGGACGATAAAATCTCAGCGGACTCATTCTTCTTGGGTGCGTTGTTGTGGACATAAAGGTTTTTTTTTCGAGTTGATTGCGTAATGAGGGAAGCGGTGGCGTATCGTAAAGGAAATCAAGGTACACACTACAAGGTGTACATTAGAAAACTGTTCAGAAAATATTAGCAGAATCTGACATATGCAGATGTATCAGAATAAATGTTTATAGCTTCTAGAGGGTCGAAGATACTAACGTTTTGCCAATGAACATGTAGGAAATGTTATATAAAGAAGTTAAATAAGTGACATTTACCCCTTGATGTTTGGGAAATAATCTTTCTCTGGTACTTGGTAAGCACTTGTTCTAGTGCAGCCAAGGACACTTCGCATCCTGATTTCGTGTACGAGTTGCCTCCCAACCAGAGGTAAATGTCACCTGCGTAAGACCCGACTTAAACGCTTCCTTTTGACGAACGACTTCAGGAGATTTAGCAAATGTGCGCATGCGCAGTGTGGCGCTGTCGGTCCTAAAGCCGCTGTGCGCACTCGCTGAAACTCCCGAAGTCGTTTGTCAAAAGGAAGCGTGAAAATCTGGTCCAACGTCGTTAAAAGCGATTTCGCACCACATGTTCATTGACAAAAAGCGATCATATTTGACTCACTCCTGTATTTAACACCCTAGAAAGTAACATTTATTCTGTGACATGCATACGGCATTTTCTTCACCAATTCTATCTGTTTTTGAAGAGGAAGTTTGAACACGTGCTGAATGAGGGTTATGCCTAAAAGGACGCGAAACGCAAGTGAGGATCCTCAGGAAAGACAAATACCCATCGGTCTTTTCAGTCTTGATTTTACGGATGGAAATCCTGCTCACCCATCGCAGTGAAACCGGCATAATGGGACCCAAGCTCGAATGATAAGCCTTCTTACTGGAGTAAGGCACATTACTCCTACAGCAGGTGTGGACACTTCTCGTCTGGGAACGTGTCAGTACAGTAAAGACTGATTGAGTATTCTAAGCATGGTTATATTGAATATATTAAAAAATGCATTATTTGAATGAATCAACCGCAACATTTTATGGTATTCCAGAGCTTAACTAATGGATAACTATATTTGGAGATAAGGAGTTCGAAAAATTCTCATTGTAGTGCTGCTTGATTTTGGAATGTTCTACCCTACCAGAAGTAACTTATTAGTACTTTTATTAATTACGATAGTTATCTTAATTTGAATGACAGATATTTCATGACACGTCAATTTCTATGGCCATTATTCCCGTTAGTGTAGTGAATGTCTTTTATTCCATGAGGTGCCGGTGATTCCTTCTGCGCTGGAAGATGAGATCAGTCCCAATCTACACGTCCACTTGCTTCGGATTCCCCTTCAGCTATCTTCCCCTAGGGGTACAAGATCTTAACTCTATTCTGATATCCCAACATTTATGGTAGTGTAGTTTATGTGAGTAAATGTTCGAAAATAGGGAGGGCTGGACAAGGAAGAGGAATGAGTGATCGCTCGCGGATCGTGCCACGTTAGTTAGGGTATCCGTGCTCCGGCATATATCTGGCGTTGACCGGACAAACTACGGAAAAGTACCGATCAGAGCGCCACCGTCGGGACTCAAACTCTAGGACCTCGCGGTTAGAATCGCTGCCGAGTCAGCAACATTGATGGCTCTGAGCTAAACTCATGCGTTAATCTTAATTTGATTGATTGAAAATATCGTATATATTTGAATAAATTACTTTCCCTCAATTATATTATCAATATTTTACTTCTTTTCCTACATATATTCTTTAGAGAGACACAATTTTTGGAATACTACCTTTTGGAAATAAAAGTTATTTTATTTTAAAAGTCGTGATTCAGGATTATTTTTTAGCAAATAAAATTAGGGAATGAAGATTTGGTGCTAATGTAAGAGCACTTATCTTGTCATTGTCTATCTGTATTTACAGCTTGCCAGCAATTTGATAGGTTTCCGTCATCGGCAAGCAATTACCGGGATCATATTCCGACGTCACTTTTCACGGCGCAATTGATCGGTGTCAGACGAGAACAAAGATGAATGGGTGAAGGGGCAAAGAGCTGCCTGATCACGCAAAGACTGGGATGACCTTGAACCTTATTGAAGGTCGCATAAAGAGAGAAATAGATGCAAGAAAAAATAATTATTGTTGTGATAAAAATTAAAGTAAAACCATA